GCTCCCCTGCCTAAGCTTCCACAGGTTTTGCATTACTTCTAAGAAAAAATACAAACTCTTCATCACGCCCACCAAGTTCTGTATGATCTGGCCCCTGCTTGCTCAGATGGGGAAACTTAGAGATTGAGGAAACTAAGATCACACTGCTAGCAAGTTGTAGACCCAGGTAGTCAGGCTCTAAAGCCTCCTTTATTGCTACACTATACTGTCTCTATGGATACCTTTTGCTTATTGGATGGCACCTGCCCCACAATCAAACTCCATTGTGTGTGACCACTTGTCTTGGATGACCTTCTTGAACCATGTCCTTTTAGAACACAGCCCTCATTCCCATCTCCAGTTTTAGCCAGCTCTTTTTCCCAGGCTGCATCTAGGTCTGGTACCTTTCACAGTTAACTTAGATGGACCCCAATCTTAGACTCAGAGACTCAGATACCAAACCCTGAGTGCTAATAATCATTTCTTTCTAGAAACTTCAGCTTTTAATGTCCATGATTGATTCCGTACTTTTCATTTAGATTCCAAAGAGTGAGAATCTGAGAGACCTTTTCCACCAAGTCAAAATAGAGGTTGTTGACCAGCTATAGATTGTTTCCTGGATCAGATGTCTTAAAGTCTTCTGCATCCAGCCAACAGATGGAGAAAAACAGAGTATAGTCATATCCATTTCATAGTCTTGGCCCAGAAGTAACACACATCAGTTTCAATAATATTGCATTGGCAAGAACTGGTCAAATGCATACTTAGATGTATTTATGATCTTACCACAGCAACTGTTACAAATTTGAACAACTCCCTTAATTATTTTATTTCATGACTTAATAACTTTAATCATAACTTGTTTCCATGAGGTTAATTCTTATTTAATAATCCAGATGTTGCCCTTCAGTAAACTTCTTTTATTATCAACTAGTAAATGGTAAAGGGAGTTGCCATTTCGTGGACCTTTGGTTAATGAAACAGCGGTTCAAAGACTATTTGACCTACTGATCCTGGTCAGATTTATCAATTTGATATTTGGTAAAGAACTACCAGAGACCTGTCACATGATAAATGTTTACTTTTAACTTCTTTTTATTATGTATTCCATAATACCAATAGCACTGTCTAAATACCACATTTAAAAAGCAAAAATAAATAAAAAATCAAGTCAAAAAAAAAAAAAAATGGGCAGAGGACCCGAATAGACGTGTTTCTAAAAAATGGCCAACAGACACATGAAAAGATGCTCAACATCACTAATGCAAATCAAATGCAAACGAAAATCTGATCCGATGTGCACAAATGCAAATCAAAACCACAATGAGATATCACCTCACACCTGTCAGAATGGCTGAAATTAAAATGATAGGAAACATCAAGTGCTGGCAAGGATGTGGGGAAAAAGGGACCCTTGTGCACCCTTTGCGGGAATATAAATTGGTGCGGCCACTGTGGAAAACAATATGGAAGTTCCTCACAAAGTTAAAAATAGAAATACTATATGATACCACTATTGGGTATTTACCCAGAGAAAACAAAAACACTAACTTGAAAAGATATATGCACCTCTATGTTTATTGCAGCATTATTTACAATAGCCAAGATACTGAAGCAACCTAAGTGTCCATTAACAGATGAATGGATAAGGAAAATGTGCCAAACACACACACACACACACACACACACACTGGAATATTACACAATTACACAGCCATAAAAAAGGATGAGATCATGACATTTGAGATAACATGGATGGATCTAGAAGATATTACATTAAGTGAAGTAAGTCAGACTGAGAAAGACAAAGACCATATGATTCCATGCATAAATGGAATATAAAAAAAGACACAATAAACAAACAAAAATCAGAATCAGACCTATAAATACAACATATAGTGGTTGTCAGAGGGGAGAGGGTGGGAAGGTTGAGCAAAATGGGTGAAGGGGAGAGGGATACAGGCCTCCAGTTAAGAAATCAGTAAATCACAAGAATAAAAAGCACAACTTAAGGAATATAGTCAATGATACTGTAACAGGGACGTAATGGGACAGATGACAGCTACACTGTGGCGAACACGGCATGAATCAACTCATCAAATCACCAAGCTGTACACTTGAAACTAATGTAACATTGTATTTCAACTAGACTCAAAAGAGAGAGAGAGTGAGAAGTTAAGTCCAATAAAAAGTAGCTCAGGGGCTCCTGGGTGGCTTAGCTGGTTAAGCATCCAACTCAACTTCAGCTCAGGTCATAATCTCACGGTTCATGAGATTGAGACCCACATCGGGCTCTGAGCTGACAGCACAGAGTGTGGTTGGGATTCTCTCCCTCTCTCTGGGCCTTTTCCTTGCTCTCGCTCTCAAAAATAAATCAATAAATATTTTTTAAAAAGTAGCTCATAATTTAAATAAAATTAAGAGTATAATTATATGGAAGAATTTAGGAGCAAAAAGAAGGAGCTGAAAAAGATATTACGTGGGCAGACCCATGATACTTTAGTCCCCAGGTGACCCAGCATGGCCTGAGAAAGAGAGGTCACCCCTCCCACCTTTGATTAGAACCTATCAGTGGCAAGGGGAGGCTACTTCTAGTGGCTTCAAAGGGTTGGACATTAGTCAGGAAGAGCCATAACCAGAATGGAAGTAACGGCCGACAATGTCACCAACAGGGAGAACACTTCGCAAGCATGTCTGAGATTTGGTCCCTCCACCCTGCAAAAAGTCCAAGACAGGAGCGGGACTGGGGTACAGCAATCAAGTCCCAGGTCAATATACCACTCTAATTTGGGCATTTAAGATTAACATGAGGAGCACCTGGGGGGGCTCAGTCAGTTAAGCGTCTGACTTCAGTTCATGGCACGTGAGTTTAAGCCCCATTTCGGACTCTGTGCTGACAGCTCAGAGGCTGGAGGCTGCTTCAGATTCTGTGTCTCCCTCTCTCTCTGCCCCTCTCCTGCTCACACTCTCTCTCTCCCTCTCAAAAATAAATAAACGTTAAAAAAATGTTTTTTAGGGGTGCCTGGGTGGCTTAGTCGGTTAAGCGTCCGACTTTCACTTAGGTCATGATCTCGCGGTTCGTGGGTTCGAGCCCCGCGTCGGGCTCTGTGCTGACGGCCGGCTCAGAGCCTGGAGCCTATTTCAGAGTCTGTCACTCCCTCTCTCTCTGACCCTCCCCTGTTCATGCTGTCTCTCTCTCTCTCT